TGAAGACATATGAAATGTTCATCTTGCAGCGCTACCGTCATCCTACCTTCTCGGCAGTCAAGCATTCAAGAAAGCTAAAATTTTATAAAAATATTGTCTGATTTTGCGGAAAAATTGCCCATATTCTCTCATAGGAATGCGGCAAATTTCAGGCTGCAAGAACGCACAATCGCATCGAAAATTTTGGTGCTTGTTGCTACACATTAGTTGTTCCTACTATTTTTGGTGTTTTTTGGCATAGTACAAACACGATCATGTATCTGTGCATGTGTCTATATGTGTACGTCTGTATGCGCATCTGCGTACATGTGTGTTAATGTGTGTGTATGTGTGTGCGTTTGTGTGTGTGTGTATGTGTGTGTGTTTCTGTGTGTGTGTGTGTGTGTTTGTGTGTGAACAACTGCGCTTTGAAAAAAATGATCAGTGAGCTAAAAAAATATGGGACTGTAGCTACCCATACTGGGAAAGTATGGGCTAACAAAATTAGCATGACTGCTTGGATAATGCGGACGATCACTGCAGTGATTCGAAGTTCGTAATGTTACTCCTTGTTATTACCGCGGAGCGTCTTTGATTCATAATTAGTTGTCTCATAAATAGTTTTAGTTGTCCGTTTTTTTCTTTTTTCTTTGCTGGGAGGGTTTTTTTCAGATCGATGTCTACTTATGAAAAAGCATGTGTGCGCGCTTCTCTGTGGCTCTCAGCACGCATGTGCTCATTAAAAATACGTATGTACGCACAAGTTTTTTTAATTTACGAATCTTTTAATTTCAACGTGGATGTGGTATGTGCTTGCACACAGGATTCCTGTGTAATTCGATGAATCAGCTTCATTTTCTGTCAATCTGAGCGCAGGGAACTGTACAAGTAGGTATTGGAAGTACACCAGTCACGTTCTCCCTCAAAAAACACTAAAGCTATCTGTGCTGGTAGCATCAATTCCTTTCATAACCAGTGAAATTTTTTTTTCAACTGTATTATTTTTTTTTTTTAAATTGTAATCAGACTGAAGAGAGAAACGAAACAGGCATGTAAAATGAACCAGTAAAGCCACAAATAACAATTTTTTGAATCTTCGATTGCTGCTGACTTTTCGACTTAATTTAGATGGCTCGAATAGCGCTGTGTTAAAGCACACGTCTTATGTGCTGTTGGTTTCGGTGATAAACTTCAGGCTTTTTTTGTTTGGCTGGTACTTCTTTGCATTGGGTGCTGACGCGCATGCAGTAAGATACGGTCGACAACTTATTTGGTATGCACACATCCGTCGACATGGGTTTTTTTTTTTTCGACGAGCCACCGTACCGCTTTGTGTTTTTATCTGATCTTATATGTTAATTAGCAGCTGGGGCGTTTTTTTCTCCATGCTCGATTCTTTTTGTGAAATACACAGATCCAAAAAACGATAATCTAACTGGATGGTTTTTTTGTCTAATTTGCATTCCATTCTTTTACAGTTGGAACTTTTCCAAGAGACCGGAGAAAAGTGTACCGTTTTCTCGTTCATCTACTGCACACACTTTTTCCCGAGCCACAGTTGATAGCCTGAGAACGTATGTTGAAGAGCTGCCAGGTATGCAAATTCACGGCATTAGATGTGTATTAAGAATGACCAGTTCTGGCCAATTCTTTCAGATATGGCTCTACTGAACGCGTTTAGCTACAGAAACAAGATGTGATACTGACCAGAGGCGGAAGAACAGCTAATGAATGTTATTAAAAAGGCAGTGTAACAGAGAATGTTGTATGTGTTTCCTTCTGGCCGGTATCTTTTTGGCCGGGCTTATTGGTTCCTATGCTTTCAGTGATCGGCATGGCTTAGCGTGATTGATGAGCGCCCCCTTCATGCATGAGAAGTGACCATTTGGACAGTTTCCTTGGAGACACAGGCGGATTCAGAACGGACTCATGGAGAGAGGAGAGAGGAGGGAGAAGAGGGAGGGGAAGGGAGGGAGGGAGGGGTAGGGGCGGTAGTTGGGGAGAGAGTCCCCCCCCCCTCCTGGAACTATACAAAAACGCGCCCCAGACTAGCCGGTGCGATCATGCGTTTTGTGCAATTTAGCCCACCAAACGATTGCCTATTAATGATTTTCACTGTTTTGTACTTTAGTCTATGCAAAAATAGTTCAGACATTAGAAAATAGTTAAATTTCCACGCATCAGCGCATGCTGAATTCGAAACTTTGAAGGGTGAATAACTTTCCGTGACTCCCGAGTTAATTGTTTACCCGCCAAAATTTTCACGAGGCCCTAGGTGGTACTCGAGAGCGTGAGAACGCTGAATTTGAACAGGCAAGGTTGAGCGTGGGCAGGGGGTCATTATGCTAAAATTTCATCCGCCTAGATTCCGTGGTTCCCGAGATATTAATTTACCCGTAAAAAACTTCAACGAGGCCATAAGTGTTACACGCGAGTACGGGAAGGCTGAATTTAAATTTGCCGCATCACCTGCTGGCGGGGAACACTATACCAAAATCTGAGCCGCCTAGCATTTGTGGTTCCCGAGTTGAAAGTGCGGGACAAAATGTGGGACACACACACAGGCAACCCCGTGACAATATGCGTTTTGTACTGCTGTTACACATCACAAAACGCATAATTAGGAATAGAGTTGTAACACTGCTACTTAGAGTCACTTTAGTTTAGAGTTATTTTAGGCTTTAGTTTACCTTAGTTTTAGCTTTATGCCCGGGCCTCTGCAGCACTGGCGCTTGTAGCGCTGGGGCTCCTGGATCTGCCTATGTCTGGAGATGGTGAATTTCAGTAGCAGTCAAATTGGGAAAGGAGGGCTCAGCGTAGCTGCGAATTTCAGCCTATTAATAAATTTAGCTTAAATCATCGTGGTGGTAAATTTTCGCGCACTTCCAGTAGCTGGATCCGAGTCAGCTCTGATGAATGTAGAATGGTATGGGATGTAGAAACCTTCCTGATGAATGTAGAAACGTTCCTCAAAATTCTATGTCTTCCAACGACACCTGTCTTCTACGGTATGTAGCGATCCAATGTGTTTGGCGGATTGCCAATGCTCGGGAAAAGTGTTTCCCACGCTTTCTGGTGTGCATTGCCCTTGATTTCTGATGTATTTTTTTAGGGTTTTTGCAGTTTTTCTCTTGTTTCGTGATGGTTATCCCATTTTTTGCTGTTTCTTATGTGTGTAGGATAATGTGTGTACCTCAAAGTTGTTTTGTTGGCGAGAGCCAATTTCGGAAACCAGACAAGCTAGAAAGCTGAAATTTCACTGATTTGCGTATGTTACTCAAACATTTTAAATTTTATTTTGAGGCATACCTGCGTCTCGCGTGAACACAAGCTGAAGCTTATGACGTCGTGTTAACATCCTTGTAATTCAACTGAACAGAAAACTGCACTTTTACGTGAATATTTGCTGGTCTGTGTACTGTCCTGTAAGCGTGAAATGAGGTGACAAGTACTCCCACGTCTCCTGTACATGGATGTGTCAAAATCCCTGATGCAAAATTGCCGACTCTCTCCTCACCTTAATTAGATTTGCTCGAAAGCTGAAATTTCATGAGGTCTCGATGTGCAACAATACCGGCTCGGCCGATGGCTGATCCCCCTCGAAGGTCGAAGAAAAGACCGACAAGAACATTTCCAACATGTGCAAACCACGTTATGAGAAACTGCGCTTTTATACTGCTCTCCTGCTGCACCATGCAAAAGCACATCACTGCACCGGCAGCAGTGACGCGATGCAGTTTTGTTTTTTGGGTTTGATTACTAGCAGGGTGAAGGAGGAAGAGGAGGGGTGAAATGATCGAAAGTAAAACACTTATGGGCCGAAAGTTAAATGTAGTTTTTTTTTCGCTGGTTTGCTTCTCGCCTTGATTTATTATAATAGCACTTATTGGCTATTTTTTGCATTTTTTTTTCTCGCTCTTTTATGCCCAAGTCTCAGAATGCCATCCCCTTGAGGGAGCGGAGCTTTTCGTCCATTTTTACAACTCTTATAATGTCTTTTCAAACCCTTTCGCTTTGTTTCAGTGTGTGCGCTTAACTTTTTTGTTTGCCAGGAAATAGAAGCTTCGAGCTTGTGCTGCTGTTGTTCGGGATGAAATTGATGAGTGTAGGCGTACAGCGGGACCGAAAATCCGAGCTGCATAGAAACCTGGTTTGGCAGAGATTGAAGCATGCCTTATTCATACAGTGCTTTTTGATCAGTTGCCAGTTTCTGGATTGGGGAAAGTGGGAGAAATTCGGTCGCAGCGGTCAGAGATGTGCTTTCGTTCGATTTAATTTCTATTACTAGCGCAAACATTGTTGTTCCCTATCCGGCATATACATTCTCATCGGTTGCTATACCATTGTGTCCTGCTTTTTGTTCATTTTCAACTTTTTGTTCATCTACTTGTTGTTTGGCGCATCTTTCATCATATGCGTTTTCAGTGCTCATTATTATTATTATTATTATTGTTATTATTATTAATTATTATCATTATTATCGTTATTATTATTATTGTTATTGTTATTATCAATTATTATCATTATTATCGTTATTATTCGTTATTGTTATTGTTATTAATTATTATCATTATTGTCGTTATTATTATTCATTATTATTGTTGTTATTATTATCGTTATTATTATTGTTATTATTATTATTACTATTATTATCATTTACATTATTATTTCTATAATGGTTATAATGGTTGTAATTATTATTCTAATGCCTCTCTTGTTACTAATGTTGTTAATTATTACTATTTTGTATATATTATTATGACTTTTTATTATAATTATTACTACTGTTTCTTTGTTTCTGTCTTTACCTGAGAAGCAAACTGAGAGGGTTTTAGACATCTATGTGCTTTGTGTTCCACTTTCATTGTATTAGCAGACACGAACTGTTGGGTTTTCTGCACGAATGAGGTTCGACCTGTGATTCTTGTGCGAAGTTGCAATTTTCTGGATGACGCTGTTAATCAGTGCGGCGGCGCTTCATTGTTGGCCAGTTGCTGAAATATTGAATATGTTATGTTCAGGTGGGTTCTCGGGGGAGCAGTATCTGTGAAGGAGGTCGAGAAGGTCCTTCGGTTGCATGCCGAAAATACGACTGGTATCATTATGTCGCTGCAACACCGGAATCTCGACGTTATTTGTCATAACGTGTCGGCACTATGTTCGATTCCTGAATATCTTCATTAGAAGTGGTCTAGGATTAGTAAGTTGCACTCATTTTACCAAATTTAACCAGCGATTTCACATAGAACATTAGCATTTTGAAGGGTTTTTTTGAAATTTTTTCCTCAAAATAAGATCAAAAGGACTAGATTTGTGTTTAACAGTAACAGCCATGCTGTTTCGACGAACGTTAGAAGAGCAGCCGACCAAACACCGGCTCCTGGTAACAGTTAGCCGGAAGGCAGTACCGCTTTTTCTGAATTTTTTTTTTTTTTTTTTTAAATTTGAACCGTCTATCGATCTTTAGAGGGAGACTACGCAGTTGTGGACTGGCATTCTAAGGGGAATTAAAAGTCTCACCGACAGTTGCTATATTCAGGGTATTATTTGTACTGATACCTCAGAGGACACATGAGTTCGCCTGCCTCGATTTGGAAATATATGATTTGCCAAAATCGACTTGGAAATTCCATCTAAAATTGGCAATTTTTGTTTGACAGCAAGAATACAGCGGATAGTAAGAAATATAATTGTAAAAGCTGTTTTGTGATAAAAATTTTTGATGTGGAAAATATGTTTTTCTTCGATCCTTCCACGGAGGAATGCTCCCTACTTTTTTTTGAATCGAATTTTTTACCGATAATCAGTTTGTTTGCTCTTTTTGAGGGTCTGTATTATCTCGTTCATTTGCTGCTTTTGATGATCGTTGCTTGCGAGTATCTCGTCCTCTTGCCTTATGAAGAACAAGTACGGCCGTCACTGCTCATACCCGTTTATTATGTTGTTGGCATTTATTTGATTGTCTGCATTCTTTATCACTATCGAAAGGCCTGCTCCGTGGATCCTGGAAGACCGAAATTTGTAATTTTCTACGCATTTTTACATAAAATCGCATCTTGACTCATAATATTTTTTTTTTCTGCGTGTTTGTATGTGTTGTGTATGTCCTTTTGAATATTTATGTGTGTATGTCCTTCCGGATATTTCAAACAAGAAGTTATGGAGGCTACGAAATTCTTTTAGCGCAGTTCCATACCATTTGCGAGGCAAAAATTTGGAATCAGCTCCTACATTTTTCCATTTGTTGATCTTTGAACTTTGACTTGAAATCATTCTAATGGCGATAACTCAAGCATGAAATTAAAAAAAAAGAAAAAACGTATCTCTCAAACAATTCTGAGTTAACTAGCTTCGAATTAGCTTTGGAATTTTACTGCTTGCTCTTATGTGGCTTGAATAGTTTGTTCAACTTCTGATCAATGGACTTTACGCGCTTGAAATTTTGTGGGCATAACTCGAGTTTAGTAGCTGCGGAATGGAGTTCGCTTTCGAGCCGTATTACATTCAGATTTTGAGTTTCTGGCTAACTTTAGAAATATAACTGTAAAAAAAAGCGCACCTCATGGATTCGAACTTTTAACTGAATTTTTTAAAATTGTTTTGACACCATTCACTTGCTCTGCATATGGGTATTGGTGCATTCTACCGCTGAACATCTTCCTCAATTATATAGTTCCTGAAATGCATCCCGTTGCGCCGGTTCCCCGGCGTATGCTGTGCTCAGAGTTTCAAATTCTCGAATGTTTGTAGTCTCCTCTTCTGCTTTTTACAGTCTGATGCGGAACCACGCTGTGCGGTGTGCGGTTTTTATAAGCCGGAAGGGACGCATCATTGCTCAATTTGTGGTCGATGTGTGCTACAAATGGACCATCACTGTGTCTGGATAAATCAGTGTGTCGGCCTCAATAACCATCGCTTCTTCCTCCAGTTCGTTCTCTACGTTTGGTTTGCGCAGTGTCTTATACTTCTGATCAATTACACCTCTTTCTGGGAGCATTTCTACTCAGCAAATGTTCGTCTCTTTTTCAGTTTAAAAAAAAAAAATTCGCTTAAATTACTTTTCTGTTTTTTGCTCTTTTCACCATCCTTCATTCCCAGTTTCGTCTCTTTGCTGATCTCTTGCAGGGCATTTTAGCATATGTTTCGATTCATGTAAGTGTTGTAGAAATTTTAAAGATACAAACAGTGAATATCCCTGGCCATGTAAAGTCCACCTCAATAAAACCCATCTGTATTTTTTTGCTGAGCGAGCAGTTGAGAGGAAATTCGATGCGTGTAGATCTCCCATACCGTTACTATTTTGCTTCGAAGCAACTCAGCCCGTAAGCATTCCAGGGTTGGGTTTGAATGATGTCTGATGTTTTTTTTTTTTTTTTTTTTTT